TAAATAATTCCGCAAAGAAATGTGCAACTATTAACATAAGAACAAAGATAACCGAGGAACCCGTGCTCCTGGGTTATTACGTCTGTCACGACTGTCGGGGAAAGAGAGAAAACAGTCTAACCAACCAGTTTGAAAAATAAAAAAATAATAAAAATGAAGTATATTTACAGAGAAGGAAAAAAGGTGAAATGAAACTAACACACAAGAGAAAGAAAAAATGTATATTCAGAGTTACGGGCACAGAAGGAATTCACTCTCAGAAAAAAAAGGTGTATTATTACACCCCTTGTCCCAAATAATACACCCCAAAATTTCAATTCGACGTACAGCGCCTCATAATCGAACAGGCGGCTCCAAAGTATACGAGGGGCTTGATAGCCGTATGGTACGACTTATTTAGATAGCTGATGTACGTATTATTGACTACAAAAAAGATTATCGGAGTTTTCTCGGCCGCGCTGCAAAAGCTTCATGTTTTCTTTCTTTGGTCTTTGATACGTGCTTTAGCAATTTAATAAGTTATATTGCACCGTTATCAAGCCCCTGGTAAAATTTCGTGCCGTCTGTTCGACTCTAGGGCGCTGTACGTCGAAATGAAGTTTTGGGGTGTATTATTTGGGATAAAAGGGTGTAAGGTGATACCCTTTTTTTTTTTAGAGTGAAACAGTCAAAATTGTCTTATCATCTGAGCGTCGCTAGTGGTTCCTCCAATGTAGAAGAACGAAACTCTCTGGGTTAGCTTCTCGGTGCCTCGAAGCGATGCCGAGCTGTATCGTACGAGGCGACCGAGCTTGTCGGGAGTTAGCACCTTGGCACTATGACGTGGACAGGCCAGGGTTCAGGTAGCCACCGTGGCCGTCCGTCGCGGCTCTTCGGACAGCTCCGAACGTCTCCTCGTTCTCACGGGACCGCGTTCCTTACGCGTCTTCCTCCTTTCTCTCATTTTTTGACGTTATCATTGTCATCACCGCATGACGTTCCCACCTCGCTTAGAGAACTTCATCCGACAAAGATTTTTCGAGATGACGACCCTGATCGATGCACTGTCGTAGTTGGCGATGCACACGCGCACACACACTCCTGTAATCTGGCACACAGACACGTCCGTTGACAGTACGCAAAAAAAATGAAAGTACGGGTAACAAATATTACACAAAACACTAAATCAAGAGACAGTCGGTCACACCCACACTTTTATTGTGCTCACTCTTGTCCGCTTGTCAAATACTGTCCCCATCACGAAAACAGATCGCGCTTATCAACTTGCCAAACCTCAGTGTGGTTAAAAAAAATTACAGCATCAAGAAATTAACTAAACTATCGGTTCTTGGAGACTGTAACGACAAAAGAGAGCAAGAACACGGAAATATATTCCCGCGTCGCTCCGAACGGTTTCACCTGATTTCTTATATCATGGCTTCAAAACAACATTGACAAATTAACTCTCATGGTGACTCAAGAAGTCCCCTCCAACATTACCAGTTCCTTTACATATACTCTACCTGAAAGTCTGAGTTTCGTAACGCCAAGCTCCATCGCATTACGCGACTGTTCGCGTATTTCGTCGCATTCAAGCACTCTCAAATTTCCAAAGGTCAAAACCCGTCCTTCGCAGGTTGATAATGTCAAACGACACTAACTTCAACGACTTATCGTAGACGTTGTGCAGAAAGAATATTTGCCTTCTCTGCACTTCGCCACCGTATGTTGGCTAACATCACTGAGCGAACGTGTTTTCTGGAATCGCTCTGCATACCAGGCCACAAGAACCCTTCTGGCGCCGGTGCGAGCGTGCTCTTCATACCTTGATAACCTGAGACGTTCCCCTGATGTGCGCTCACCAAAAGGGTGGACCTATATTTAGTTGGCAGAACCTACTGCTTTCTACTTCTTCAGGGAGTAAACACGCAGCTTCGATGAAGTAAATTGTCTTTCATCACCATCTTGTATCTGGTAGGGCATTCATACTTCCTGATCACCTTCCCAACGTTGTCCAAGCAGTCATTCAGGGGTACGTCATGCCGCTGCGCATCTGAAAGCTCCTCAATTGTTGTTTTGACTATTGGAACTTGCGGCACCATCGGCGTTGATTGTTCCTTGTTTTTATCCCCATTCTCCCTTCTCTGCGCCCGAGAGGTCTTTCGAGTGGTAGAATCGAAATTGAGTTTCGATTGCTTGTGACGTGTTCTGGCGCTTCACTGACGACCATTTTTTTTCTATTGTCTTTCCTTCCTTCCTTGTTCCGATATTATATCGCGTTCTCGGCGGTGGCACATCGGTGCTCATCGGTTGGTCCCTTTTCTAGGCTGGGTACAATTCGTATGCTTCTCTCAACTGTATGATGTCACCAAGCACTAGATCGTATAGCGAATTACCATTGCCCTTTGCAATGACGTTTTCCGTAAAAATATGGCGTGTTAACAAAGATCTCCGCCTCGGGTAGATATCTTACTGTTCGATTTAGCAAGAATACAGGACTCGAGTTGTCAGTGTAGCTTCCGGCTGCAACCAAGCTCTTTCTCATAACTACGATATTGCTACCAGTGTCCCGTAGTACTGCAATCTTATTTTCACCTATGCGGCCTTGCCCCACAGGCATGCTGTCAATCAAAAATTCTGGTGGCCTTTCCACAGCCGTATTTGCCACTGATATCCGACCTCCAGCCCTTAATGTCACGTACAGATTTCATGTGATTCCCCCAGCCCTTCAACACCAGCTATCGGCATACAGAAAACTTGGGGTTTATCACTCGATCTCATGATACAATTCTCGGCTTTCTGTCCCAGCCTCCCATAGTGCCAACATGACAGAGGCCTGGGGTATTGGTTACTAATCTGGCTGCGCTCAGCCGTACGTCCCATGTTGTTGCACGCAAAGCATCGGGATGACATTCTCGAATTCTCCTTAAACGGGATAGATGCAGTCCTTGGAGTGATTTCTGCAAGAGAATTTTTAATGCGAAAGCATTAACTGTCCCATGACACGAGGCCGGCTATGTCTGTAGCAGCGAAAAACGGCAGCTAAATTCCCATTTTTCCATTGGCTGAGCAAAACGGCACCTAAAGTCCCATTGGCTGCAACGCGTCATATCAGATGCTTCGTCACGGAATCCGGCGAGGCCGCTCGAGGTCAGCGGGGATGCGCTTCAGAAATAAAACACAAAGAAAGGCACAGCAACGCAGATACATCGCAACGGAAGACGTGGAGTCGGCGGGGTTCGCTGCGCCTGCGCAGTAGGGGAGCGTGATGTCAGCGTCAGAGCGGCGTGTGAAAAAGAAAGACGTGGCGCGCTGCTTGTAGGAATGCTTTCGCATTCCTATACGGTTAGAATCTGGTCCTCAAGGATGAGGTCGGTTTGACCAGCCAAATCATACAAGGTCAAGCAATTTCTTTCTTTCAGAAATACCGTTAGCTCGCTCGAACAGGTAGGTGGTCATGAACTGCTTTATCAGCACCCTGTCTCGTAGCGCCTCAAGGGTTTTCTCGATTTCCAACACTTCCAACCACCTATTGAAATATCCAGCTAGTCAGCCTGGCGGAAAACTGTCTTCTTGTCTCGCTATCACCGGGATAAGCCTCACAGAATCTCACGCGATAATTTTCTTGAGAATATCGAAATCTTTGGATCAACTCCAGTTTCACCTTGGAATAGTCCATCGCATACACAGGGGTCATGCGGCCGATCACGGGGAGGGCTTCTCCTGGTAGGCATTACTTTAAAGTGGTTTCCCACCTGTCTTGTGGCATCTCAGGCCTGTGGCTGTACGCTCGAACACCTGCAGCTACTCGTCAAGATCGTCAATCGCTTTATTATACTATGAAATAGGTTTGTGCGAACTAGCTTGATGCCTTTGAATAGCCGAACCGCTTCCATCTCCTTCGCGTCTTACTTCACAATGTCCTCTTTTCGGTTCTGCAATTCTTAGCTCCAGGGCTTCGCGTTCTTTCTCAAGTCTGGCATATTCCGCCCGACACTCGCGTTCTCGTGCTTCATGCTTCTCTCGCGCGCCTGCGCCTGCGCTGTTTCTTCCTTTTGAATGTTTTTCTCCCGCTCGACCCTGTGCTTTAGTTCATCCCCCTCATATCCGAGCTCTTTTTCGATCGTCAGCAACCTATCAACTTCCGCAACCACAGAACTAGTCATGGCCGCGCACTCTCTCTCCGAGACAAAGGGGGTGAAGCCAATGAGTTAGAGATCCTGGCAGGCTTGTCAAATTGTCACGGTGGTCACGGAAGAACGAGGCTAAATTCGGAGTTGACCAACGAGCCGCTACGGACGGCCAAGGCATCCCCTTGAATCCTGGCCTGTTTGCGTCATGGTGCTAAGGCGCTGACAACCGACAAGTTCGGTCGCGACGTACGATACAGACCGTCATCGCTCCGAGGCCCTGAGGCGCTAAACCCAGAGGTGTCCCTCCTACTACATGGGAGAAACCACAAGCGAGTCTCAAGTGAGGGGTCAACTTTGACCATGTTTTTCCTTTGGTTCTTATAACACTGGGCTAGCCATGACAGTGTACGTAATGCCGGAGTCACGCTACTCATACATGATGCAAAAGACAGGGTGTTCGCGGCAGACATGTTAACAGAACATGGTCAGACCTCAAGCATGCTCGAAGTATGTTTGGTCCTGCGTACATATGTTTTGAACACATGTGTAGATACGTTTTTATTGCCAATGTGACAGGAACATCGTACAAAGAATAAACACGACTCGCTAAGACTTTGTCTGCAGACTATCTTTTTGTATGATGCATCAGCAGTGTTACCACGGCTCTAAGGTATTCTCGCGGTGCCGACAGAGCCGCGCCAGTCAGCGTCCAGCCATTGAAAGCCAAATCTACGACGTACTCCATCCAGGCGCTAGCGAGAGATTGCGAACCCATATATCACGCAAGAGACAACATTCCTACGTCACCGCGTTGGCTGCGAGCAAAGGACAGCCTCACCGCGACACACGGACACGCTTCGAAGCGATCAGATAGCGCCGGCGCAAAGTTCGGCGGTTTCCTTTTTTTGTGTATGTGTTTCTTTCCTCTCCTCCATCAGCCATCCTGTTATCAGAAGCGTACTGGCAAGCAAGCAGCTCCTCTTTAGCCGCAGAGGCAGCAGAAGCAGCAGTTATCGCATCGGACCTGCAAGGACTCGAGCGGCGTCCTGCACCTGCGTGTGTCCAGAGCGGCGTAGATGTCCTCAAGACCATACAAGAGGACACGTCTCTGGAAGGCTCGAGAAAGACGCTGAGTCAGCGACCAAGGAGTTAACCATGAAACTGGATGCTATGAGATATTCCGCGTGACCCTGTTCAGTGTTCTTCCACGAGGTCTGCTGCGGGCTTCTACAAGCTGCCAGTGGATTCTTGTGTGCCCACATTTTAACCGTTCATGCATCGAGTATGGTTCTTGGCATCGCTGTGGGGTGTGGCGGTGACGGTGATTGCAGAGACTACCACGACTGCTCTGCCTCCGTGCGACGTCAATGGCAGTGAGTATGCGGTGTTGACATTTGAGAAATTCGCTTTTGAGTTGCCGTGGTTCGTATTAAGAACTATAGTAAAAGAAAACAACCCTGCAAACTAAAGCATTTTTTTTACTTTAGAGAAAGACTTGATTTGATTACTTTCCTCCATTTTCTATTAGCGTTGTGCAGAAATGGTTGGATTCAAAGTTAGGGCGATATTGGTACAGCCATCTAAAGTGGTTTACGTCTCGGATGGACGTCAGTCATTTTGCCAGGTAGATAAAATTCAGTCACACTGCCGCCTAAGGCGCCTGTACAGCAACAAATCAAGGCGACCCTGTCTCCTGATCAGCAGTAAAGAGTGCGTCTGAATAGTGTTTTTATGTAATTACCGAATTGGGCGACTGATAAGCAAGAGTGTAGGCCGCGAAAACTCGCGGAGTTAACGTTGAGTGTTTATTTGTCGCCCGTGCGGCGGTTTCTTTGAGGTCGATGCACTTTATTTTAAGTGTTTCTTCTATCGTCAATAAACTGTAGCGCCATCATGTTGTCGACAAACGTGCATTCAAAAACCAAAATCAACAGCAATGATATCGATATCGTAGGAATGCCGTACTTAAGTTTGCTTTGTATTTTTTTATGTATAACGTACCAATATATTATCGCTGGAATGGACGTTTTGTATTACAGTCAGACATGTACACGTTACTGAAAAAAAGTGAACGATTACAAGTACTTCACTGTAAAAGGTAACCAATTACATTTACAGTCTCAAAAACTAATAAAAACGTTACTCTAAAGTAATCGATTACTTCACACGTTACTTTTCATTCAACTTTTTCTTTATCCTTAGAATCTCTCGCTCAATTGTTCGGAGAAAAACAAAAGCATTGACCGTTTTTGCTTAGAGCTGAGTGAGTGACGCCAGCACACCCAATCCCTCTCGTGAAAAAATAAATAAAAATAGGGCTGTTTAATTATATTACTCACGAGACTGGATAAGGTTATTTTTCATACCCGAACGTAGTCTCCGGTGTACCCCTCAAAAAATGTACCCAGGAAGCGAAGCATAGTGAAGTGGCCTACTAATCACCGAGGTCCCGTGCTTAGCAGCTACGAAAAGGAAAAAAAATTGACCGTTGCCCAGGGCTCAGTGACTCCAACACATCCAACCCCCCCCCCCTTTTTTTTTATGAAAAAAATATATGAGAAAAATTGTAATTGGTAATTTTTAAATCGATTACAACAAAGATGTAATTCAATTACAAGCATCATTACTCCTTAAAGGAAGTAATTGAAGCGTTACGAAGTTACTGTAAAATGTAATTGGTTACAAGTAATTCATTACTTGTAACGCGTTGCGTACAGGTCTGATTACAGTAAGTTTCCAAAACACCTTGGTTTCTTTATTACAACATAAAAAGTTGTGTTCGGTCGTGTAAAGAGCGCGGGACTGAACTCGGATGGTTAAAACGTGCTTTTGAAGTACTCAAATATGAACCTGCTTTCGAATGAAAGAGCTAGTGTTAGTGCCCGAGAGAACTTCTCGAGCAACTATAAAGAAAAATTAAACAAGAAATATAGGTAATTGAAGGATTTTAGCATCAAAGGTGACTTTAGTGTACGCAAACTAGAGTACCACAGTCAAAAGGTTGATGGCGCAGCGACACAATACCTACTCTACCAGGAGATTCTCTGGAGAAGTTAATAAAGCTTTTTTTGAGAAGAGCGAAATGAAAAATAGGGAAACGAGCGCCTTTTGAACTAACTACCGTTTAATTTAATAACATTGTTTTTTTTAATAATTACAATGTATGTTTGTTTTGTTTGAGTTGCTCTAAAGGCTTCACAGAAAAAAACCTGCACGAAATGTTATTAAGACATAAAAAAAAGCTTTCTGTAAAATTTTATATTACGATGAGCAAACAAAACAACAATAGGTTGATCCAAAAAGCGCGGGAAAACTGTAAGGAAGTTATTGCAATTGTATTGCATGAACTCTGACATCTCGGTTCACTTCGAAGACATCACAGCCCCTGAGAAAGCATACACCTCCCATAACATTTAACATTGTCTTCTGCACTTTGAGGGCCCTATTTCGCTTTAAGGATTTCATAATTGGCGTCTTCATAGCGTCGGCCTAAGCTACGCGAAACCACCGATGCATCACCCTTAAAAGTTGCCATCTAGAGCTAAAGTTCTAACCACAAAAGTTCTTCGACAAACAACGCAATTTGTCTTTTATTCCAGGGATAAATACGACAAATTTTTGCTACACACAAAAAAAAGATTGATGTCGTGTTTGTCGGAAACAATAAAAGTAATCTACACTTAGTGTATCAGCACTCCTTTTCCCGATTTTCTTGTAGGCGCCGCCATTTTGGAACTTAGTGCGGGCGCAGTCTGCTATTGTCGTGACGCACGGCGTCGGCAGGCTTGTACAATACTCATGAAAAGCAATCAAGTTACTTGTAATCGAATACTTTTTGAAGTTAATTGTGAAGATTTGAATTCATTTACTAGTAAGCAATCGCAAGAGTAATCTGAACAACATTCTGAAGTACTAAAATTACTTCTAAACGGTGCCATTTTTCCCTCCCTTTCTTAATGGCACCCTCTGTTTCTACAAGTTTCCCACCAAGGAATCATCTAACGAAGTCTCGGACAGGAGGATAGGCTACCAAAACTGGTGGATTAAGAGGATAAGTAGTTTATAATTCGGTGATCCTGATCAAATCATGGACAGTAAGAAAGACCCGTTTTCAAAAGGGCAGCACTTTTTTTCTCTCAGAAAATCTAAAGTAAGCAGAAAAGTGACGGTTACTTTTTTTCAAGTAACAGCCGATTACTTTTCTTCTCAAGTACTCGAGTAATGTTATTGAAAACGTTTTAAGCAAGACTGATTGTAACTGTAATGGATTCTTTTTTTTTTCGAGTAACGTCTACAAGACTGACTGTCAGGAAGCTCGGGGCTGTTTTAACATTCATGGAGGACCAAAAGCCATTTCCTACGATTTGAGGTCAGGCTTCGAATGATGGGCGACGATGATTTTTAGTTTTAGCGCCAAGCTGGCCCGAGTGTTGTTACTTTGTAACTTCTTTTTAGTGACACTAGCGTCTGTGATGAAAAAGTTTAGTGTTTCAGCCGTCGAACGACGAACGAATCGTAACAGCGGCCACAAGAAAACGCGACACTATAGGCAGAGTTGTGGCATTTCCTGGAATCAGAGCCCCGGAAATGCCAGCCGTTGCTGTGCGTGCATCTACCTGCTGTTTGACGGAGTATGATATATAAAGCCAGCCTGATGTTTGCGTGAAAAATTAAAGAACCTGCGTGTTGTACCTCTATCTATTTCCGTTTTCATTATATCTCTTCTGCAGACTTTTAAATTTCTTTTTTTTTCCTATTTTGTTTTACAAATATTGTTTTTAAGAAAACGCTCGAAGAAATCAGCCTCGTCATTCTCCGAGCTTCCTTTTTAGATTCCAGAGATTTGCTCTCCACAAGTGTTTTGCGGGAGAGTAAAAGCTCCAGATTTCTTAGAGCGAGTGCCGATGGCGATAAGGAATGAAGAATTCCCGACAAAACCTTTTCTTACGAAGAAAATGTAAAAATTAGGAAGTTTTATGGGATTCGCCGTAAAATGAATAAGAAATCAAGGAGCCTGATCCCTCGATTTTGCCTAAAAATTGCCAAAAAAAACACCAATAAACATCACTGAAATAGTAACCCAAATATTGCGCAGAAGTAAAATCTTTCGCGAAGTTTCTAGTGGTAACAATGAAACAGTGACGTAAGTGGAAGAAAAGATCTCACACTTTCGACTGTAGACTTTGCTTCAAAATGATTGCAATCACGAATGCTTTGAAAGCTCGCTCCAACACCCTCGCAGCAGCACGAAAAAAAGAATCGGCATAGTCCATTTTTAGACTGCCTGCTCGACCTGCAAGCCTGCCTTCCCCCCTGACGTCACGGCACTGAAAATCGCGGCTATACTTGAATGTTCGTTTTGGCATCATTTTCATTTGCCGATTTCACAATAACTCTTCAGGATTGCGCGATACTAAATAACATACCGGAAAGGTTAAAGGCCCGTGATTCCTAATATATAGTTAGTTGGGGTAGCTAGAACAAAATCGCCGGGGTTTTGCGTTCACTCTAATCCTGATTAATTCTAATTAAAGCTGGCACTAACTATAGCTAAGAGCATCGTTTCACTTTTTATAGATTGTTAATTCATTTATTGCCAGGCTCCAATCCTTATCCACGCGAGTGAATAGGCCATTCTCAAAACCTCATCAGGCAACATTGGCAGTTGCCATTTCTGAGCACGAAGCGTGTGATTGGATGCCGAGTACTCGCCGAACACTGACGCAGCCCTGGTATCCAATAAATGCTCACAGGGCTGGAACCCTTGAACTCGAATGGTTGAATCTGAGCGTCGTGGTGTTCGAAGCAACTTCAGCTTTCAAGTGCGCTAATCAAATGAAGTGTTTATTCTGCCCTGAATCGAGTTAAAATCATGAACAGTGAGACACGGAACAAGAAATATTCCCGGTTTCTATCTGTGTCCTGGAAATGAATTGCGCCGAGCGCCGAGGTCCGACACACTTCTGCACACAGTTATACAGCCGTGTTCAAATTTAGCGGACGTGTGAAATTGTGACGCCACGTGACGCCAGGGCATGACATTACACTTTGAAGTCACGTGGTACCTCGACGTCGCGTGACCCTAAATTCCCGCTAAATTTAGGGGACATATGTCCGCGCTAATTTTTGAGACAGATTTTTTTCATCTAAATTTAGCAGAGAATTAAGTCTCTCCGCTGGAAAATATATGACGGCACGTGGCATGACGCCAAGTTTTGCTGGGACGTCCCAATGTAACGACACTGTGATGAGCCGCTAAATTTAGCGGATATATTTTCCCTCTAAAATTTATCGGCCCACAAGCACGTTCTCGAAACACACACGGTATCTGCTGCGAATCCTCGCCAATAGGAACTTTTAGTGGATCGTTCCG